TGTATATATATATATAGGTGTATGTGTGTATGCAAGTGTATATATACACACATATATATATAGATACGCGTGTGTGTGTGTGTGTGTGTGTGTGTGTGTGTGTGTGTGTGTGTATGTGTGTGTGTGTGCGTGCGTGCGTGCGTGCGTGCGTGTGTGTGTGTGTGTGTGTGTGTATGTATATCCCTGGGGGGCAGGCCCGGGGCCCACAAACAGCTGCCCCGCCCCCCCATGGGAGCGACGGGGCGGCCGGGGAGGTCCAAAATAGTCCAGGAGGGCCTCCAGAGGCTCCCCAGACGGCCCAAGCGGGCTCCGAGTCGCCGAAAGACCGCTCTTGGACGCACAATATAGGCCCAAGACGGCCCGAGAACCCCCCCCAAGGCACTCCATGACGCTTCAAGACGCATCTCCCGAGCGCTTCAAGAGACCCAAAATCGTCAATTTCACACAGGTTTTGTAGAGATTTTGGCCTTCCAGCCTTTTCGGCTGTCCGACGTTCCAGGCCGACTCCATGAGACCCCAAGAGCGCCCCAAGACGGCCCAAGAGGGCCCCGAGACGGCCACAGAGGCGCCCCAGAGAGCCCCAAGACGGCCCACGAGTCCAAAATTCGACCCTCCCGCTTGAAGAGTGCCCCAGGATGCCCCAAGGAGCCCCCCAGAGGCCCCAGGAGGCCCCCGAGAGTCACCCAGGAGACCCAAACAAGGCCTCAAGAGGCCACAAAACAGCCCCGAGGAGGTCCCACAACGGTCTCAAAATGGCTACCGAGAAGCTGCGAAACTGCCTTCACGACGTCCCCGACAGGCCAACCACGAGATCCAAACCAACACTCATGAGGCCTCTGACCCACCACCTAGGGCACCCGCCGCCCGCCCGCCGTCCGCGTAGCACGCACCACTCTGTACTCAACAGCTTCAGTCTCCAAGACAACACCCTGTAGTCAACAGCCCCCGTCTTCAAGGCAACACCCTGTACTCAACAAGCTCCCGCTGCAAGAGAGCACCCTTAAGGAATTCATTCAAATCCCGACCCGCCCGCCCGCCCGCCACCCGCCCGCCCGCCGCCTGCCCAGCCGCTCGCCCGCCTTCCGCGTAGCACGCGACACCCTGCACTCAACAGCCTCCGCCTCCAAGACAACACCTAGCATTCAACAGCCCCCAGGGCTCCCGGGACTGCCCGGGCCCGCTCCCAAACACGCCACGACACGCCAAGAGGGCCTTAAAGATTGCCAAGGCAGCCCCAAGAGGCCCTGGACACGCCGAAGATGGCCTCAGGACGGCCGACGACGCCGCTAAAACGCCCCAAGAGCGCCTCCAGAGGCCCCTCCAAAGGGCCCCGCATTTTTACGCTCTCGCATGTTCCGCCTCCCCACGGTCCCGGACGGCGTCAGAGGCCCTTCAGATCGCTCCAAGACGGCCGAAGAGGCTCCCAAGGAAAGACCAGAGACGGCCCAGGAGGCTCCCCAGATAATTCAATAGGGCTTCGAGAGCGCCCCAAGAGAGCCCCAAGAGCGACCCAAGAGGTCCCGAAGAGCGCGACATTTCAAGGTCTCCCGCCTGAGAGGCTCCTGGGACGCCCCCAGAGGCCATCAGGAGGCTCCCAAGAAGCCCCGTGAGGCTCCCAAGAGGCCCCCTGGAAGCCCCAATACGCTCCCAAGGGCCCCCCAGGGAAGTCCCCTGCAGGCCCCAAGAGACCTCGGTAAATCGTATTTCCCAGAGCTTTCCGGGAACATGATTCTTTGGGCTTCCGCCCACCGCCCCAACCATGTTTCCAATAGGCTTGCTGACAAGGCCAAAAAGGGCCCCTCGGTAAGCCCCCAGAGCCCCCCTCTTAAGAGAGCCGAACAAATCATGCTCCCAGAAAGCTTCCCGGGAACATGATTCTCGGGCTGCCGCCCTCTCCCCAAACCATGTTTATAAACGCCTGCCAGGATAAAAAAACGAGAGTCCCAAGCAGCGCTACCTGCCGCCACGCTCGGAAACGCGTCAGGCCCCGAAGCCTCGGGAGGCGCCTAACGACACCCCAACAAATCATGTTCCCAGGAAGTCTTACGGCCAGTGCCGCCGACGTTGAAGGAGGACGGTCCAGGACACCCAGGAATCTTCCAAACAGGCTTCCAAGAGGGCGCCGAGACAGCCCAGGGCCGCCCCCAGACGGCCCAAGAAAGCCCCAACACAGACGAAACGGGCCGCAAGAGGCCAGGCTCCCAAGAGGCCCCGAAACGAGGACATATCGTTCGAACACGCCCAAGATGGCCTCCGGACGGCCCACAAGGCTTCCAACACGGCCCAAAGGGACGCCAAATTCATTGATTGTCTTTAGGTTTTTGATGGATTTCAGACACCCAATGTCGCCCCAACAGGCCCCCACGAGGGCGCCGAGACGGCCCAGGGACGCCCTGCCGCGGGCACGAGGCGGGGCCCGGGACGGGGCCCTCGCACCGAGGGGCCCGGGGGCCCTGCCGTGGCGCTGGGGGCCTTGGAAAGTCGCCCGAAGACGGCCCTGGCGTTTCCAGACAACGAAAACGACCAATGATCGCCCGAGATCACTCCAGAATTTGTCCCTGACTGTCCGAGAGGCCTCCAAGACGCCCCAAGAGGTCTCCAAGATGGCTCCCAAGGAGCCCCAGGAGGCACAACTAATTTGTTTGCCTTTGGTTTTTGATTGATTTTCGAGTTCTCGCCTTTTGAGTTTCCTGACGCTCCACGACGGCCCAAGAGGCTTTAATTTCCGCTCCAAGGCATCCCCAGAGGCCTCGAAGACGGTCACAAGACAGCCCACGGGGGTCCCAAGACGGCGCCAGAGGCGCCCAAGGCGGCCCGAGAGGGCCCCAAGACGGCCCAAAGATGGAGCCAAGAGGGTTGACACGAAGCGAAAATCCGAGTCTTCCACCCCAAGAGGCTCTCAGGAGGCCCCGAGAAGCCCCCAACAGGCTCCAAGAGGCCCCAAGAAGCCCCCCAGGGGGCCGAAGAGTATCCAAGAGGCCTCCCACGAATGCCCCAAGAGGCAAACATCCATGTCTTGCCATAGGTTTTGATTGATGTTAGAGTTTTCAGCCTTTTGGCGTCCTGACGCTCCAAGACGGCACAAAAGGCCTCCAATACCAATCCAAGATAGCCCAAGCGGCCTCCAACAGGGCCCGAGACAGCCCGAGAGGGCACCAATACGGCCCCAAGGGGGGCCCAAGAGGGGTAAGACGAACCGAAAATCCGAGCCTTCACCCCGAGAGGCTCTCAGGAAGCCCCAGAGGCCCCCAAATGGGACCCAAGAGGCCCTCAAGAAGCTCCCCAGAAGGCCGAAGATGTTCCAAGAAGCATTGTTGTCCCATCGGCTTTTGATGTACTTTAAAGTTCCTATCCTTTTGGCATCCCGACGCTCCAAGACGGCCCAAGTGGCCCCCACGGCCGCTCCAAGATAGCCGAAGAGGCCTCCAAGAGGGCCCCAAGACGGCCCACGAGGGCCCCAAGACGGGGCCCGAGGCGCCCAAGACGGCCAGAGAGGGCCCCAAGAGGGCCCCAAGAGGGCCCCAAGAGAGCCCCAAGAAGGGGAACGCGAACCCAACAGCAGAGCTTTCCGCCCTAAGAGGCCCACAGGAGGCCCCAAGAGTCCCCAAGTGGTTCGACGAGGCCCCCCAAAGCCCCCCACCAGGCCCCAAAAGGCTCACAGGAGACGTACATGGGGCCCCAAGATAGCCGAACAGTGCTCCCGATGCATCAAAATTGCTTCAAGGAGGCCCCGGGAGGCTTCCGAATTGCCCCAATGTGGCCTCAAGTCGGGCCTCCACGCAGCCAAGACGGCCAATTGACTGCTTCAGACTGCAGAGCATCACTTTCCGACTGCCCACAGAACCCTGACGATGCCACCAAGGGACCCCAAGAAGCGCCAAGATGTCCCCCCGAGAAGCACCCAAGAGGTGCCTCCAACAGCCAACTGAGGAAGCACGGAGAACCCCCCAGAAGCCTTCCAGATGCCCCCACGAAGACCCAAGAGGTTCCCAAGAGGCCCTCAGGAGGCACGACTATGTCACGCGCCTGTGCTTGATAGCGCTGTCCAAGATCTTCTAGCGCGCCCCCAGCCTGGGCTAAAACCTGAGCGCCCGCGAAGCGCGCGCGATGGTTCTAGTATATATATATGTATATATATATATATATACACAGATATGGCAGAGACAGCACACCAAAATAGACGAGACCTCTGCCGCTGAGATCCTGTGGTGTCAGTGCCTGCTTCCCGGTGCTGATTCCCCAGATACTGCTCGCTTGTGTCCTGCGAGCGTTGCAGGCAAGGCAACATGCGATGCGGGAGCGAACACCTGGTCCTTGGACGCACGCCGCCCTGCTTCGCCCGACGGCTCAGCACACCGCATCACCAACCGCATCACGCACCACACCGCATACAACACACACACACACACCAGGGCTGGACCTAAACGCTGTTTTGCTGGACTTCGACAGTGTTGTGTTTTTCGTTTTGTGAGGGAGGTACAGGGCAAAACGAACAACAACACGATCACAAAACGAACAACAGCGCTTAGGTCCAGCCCTGACACGCACCACATCGCTACACCACGCACCAAGCGATTCGCCTTTCACCGCACGCCACATGCCACACACTATCTTGGCGTCGCGGCCAGGCGCGCAGCGGCACGGCGTAGTGAAGGTCAAGCCGGATCTGGGCGCGCGCGGGCTTGCCCAGATTATTCAGCATCCCACACACATTCGCACCCAACCTCATCGCACACATCACACCAAGCCCCTCACGCCGCCCGCTCCCCGCGCCACGCCCCTGAACACCACGCGCAGCGCACCGCTCACCATACGCCGCGTGCCACACATTGCACAGCGCTCGCCGCGCACGTCGCATTGCGCACCCCGCGTCCCGCAACGCCACGCCCCGCACGGCACGGCGTCACACAAGAGCGCGCATTCTTTCGCGCACTCTGCGCTTCGGTCGTCCATTTGGCTGCGAGGGCCTCTCTCAGCTTCGCCAGCCTCCCGCGCGGGAGGAATTGAGCCTCAAGAAGCTCGAGCTCAGAGTGGCCTCCGAGGTGGAGCTGTTGGCGTGGCACAGTCGCCTTTCGGCCGCCAGCCAAGGCGGCCGGACGAGCGGAGTGGGCAGTGGGCTCGCGGGGGTTTCCGCCTCGAGGCCATGTGGCATTGAGCACGCACCCAGTCGGAGATCCCAACTTCTCTCTGACGCCCTCCTTCCTCTTCCTCCTCCCCCCCTGTTCCTGGGGAAGACACATCCAGACATTTCTCCACATCTTGGACGGGCACCAGTGCGATGACGACGCCGGGCAGGGGCAGATATTAGCAGCGACCCAACCACGACACCATCAACACAACAATGCAAACCACTTGCGGTGGCCGTCGGCGGCTGGGCACACAGAGTGGTGGTTATCACGTGAGCCCGCCTACGTATTGCATTTTTGAGGCCGCGGCCTCCACGCCATGCCCTGATGGGCACGGGCGGGCTCCCCAGTGGAGCGCGCACGACTCCGGCGTTCGCTTCGCTCCCCCCCTGTTCCTGCACCCGCTCGTGCTGTCCCTCCTGCACCCTCCTGCTGCCCATCTTGATCATGATGCTGCTGCTGTGCTCCTTCCCCTCTATGATTGGTACCTCTTCCTTGCCGTTCCCCCAGATGTGTCGGCAGGGCAGGTCAGGCGTGTCGTTGTGAACTTCCACACCACCTATGACCCCGAAGCTTCACACCGTCACAACATATGCAAGGACGGAGCACAGGTGGTTTCCAAGAAATGATGCTGTCGTGGTATCCCCGCATGCATTCGTTTGACAATGAGGTGCGTTTTCAGAATGGGGCACTCGCCTTGGCGCTGATCAATTCGCTTTGCACTTTTGTAGCGATCTAGGGCGGTTCCTTCCCACAATGGAACTCTCGCCTGAGACCTCCTCGAAATTCGTGGCCTGGAGTGCAAGCGTGTGCAAGAGTTGCACGGGGTGCGGTCTTTTCGTTCAAAACGGGGGCCTCGCTGGACACCCCGTTGAACTCTAGGCCAATATGTTCGAGTTTCTGGTCATGTGCTAGCAGGTGCAAGGGAGTTTCCGAGACAGTGCCCCTCGTCCCACTCACTCACTCATTCACTTACTCACTCACTCACTCTCTCACTCACTCACTCACTCACTCACTCACTCACTCACTCCTCCTCCTCCTCCTCCTTTTCCTCCTCCTCCTCCTCCTCCTCCCTCCTCCCTCCTCCTCCTCCTCCCTCCTCCCCCTCCCTCCTCCCCCTCCCCCTCCCAGTACAGAGTTTCGTGGCCCCATAGGGAGCTCCGCCAAAGCCCCCAGAGGGACCGCCCGCATGCGTCCCCCACACACCCAATTTGGCATTTTCACCCCCCCAGCACAGCGCTTCGTGGCCCCATAAGGAGCTCCACCTACGGCCCGAGAAAGGGGGGGTACCACATGCGTCCGCCACACCCAGTGCGGCGTTTCGTGGCCCCATAAGGAGCTCCACCTAAGGCCCCAGAGGGGGGGTACCACATGCGTCCGCCACACCCAGTGCGGCGTTTCGTGGCCCCATAGGGAGTTCCACCTTTGGCCCTGGGGGGGGTACCACATGCGTCCGCCACACCCAGTGCGGCGTTTAAGGCCCCCCGGGGGGGGGGCGCCCGCCACACCCAGTACGGCGTTTCGTGGCCCCATAGGGAGTTCCACCTAAGGCCACAGGGAGGGGGCACCACATGCGTCCGCCACACCCAGTGCGGCGTTTCGTGGCCCCGTAGGGAATCCCACCTCAAAAGGCCCCAGGGAGGGGTACCACATGCGTCCGCCACACCCAGTACGGCGTTTCGTGGCAGTTCAGCCTGAGGCCTCAGAGGGGGGTACCACATGCGTCTGCCACACCCAGTGCGGCGTTTCGTGGCCCAGAGGGAGCTCCACCCAAAACCCTGGGGGGGGGTACCACATGCGTTCGCCACACCCAGTACGTCGTTTCGTGACCCCATAGGGAGCTCAACGTAAGGCCCCTGGGGGGGTACCACATGCGTCCGCCGCGCCCAGGACGGCGTTTCGTGGCCAGTGGGACCGTCCGCATGCGTCCCGCACACGCAATTTGACATTTTCACCAACCCAGTGAAGCGCTTCGTGGCCCCATAAGGAGCTCCGCCGAAGCCCCCAGTGAGACAGCCGGCATGCGTCCCGCACGCGCAATTTGACATTTTCACCCACCCAGTACAGCGCTTCGTGGCCCCAGTAGGGATCCCCACCGAAGCCCCCAGTGGGACCGTCCGCATGCGTCCCGCACACCCAATTTGGTATTTCCACATACCCATTCTAGCGTCTGGTGGCCTCATGAGGAGCTCCACCGAAGCCCCCAGTCGGACCGCCCACATGCGTCCCGGAAACCCAGTTTGACATTTTTACCCACCCAGTACAAAGTTTCGTGGCCCCCCAAAGGGAGCTCCACCGAACCCCCCAGCGGGACCGCCCGCATGCGTCCCGCAAACCCAATTTAGCATTTTCATCCACCCAGTACAGCGTCCCGTGGCCCCATAGGGAGCTCCACCGAAGCCCCCCCAGTGGGGCCGCCCGCATGCGTCCCGCACGCGCAGTTTGGCATTTTCACCCACCCAGTACAGCTCTTCGTGGCCCCGTAAGGAGCTCAACCGACGGCCCCAGAGCTACCGCCCGCATGCGTTCCCCCCGCCCACTGCAGCGCTTCGTGGCCCCATAGGGAGCTTCACCGAAGAAGATATTTACAATTGCGGTACCCACAACTGCACATGTTTGGGTCGCTCGCCAGGATCATTTCCAAACGGGCCATCTTCTGAAAGGCAGGCGCGTGGTTCGCTGGTCTTCCGAGGGGGCCCTGCTTGAGCGCTGTTGGGGGCAAATGTCTGATGTTTCGGTGGGGATCGCTCGAAACAAATTATGCGGGGGGGGGGGCGTTTTGGGAGTGTTATTGGCGGGAGGGGATCTTTCAGGTATTCTGGGGAGTTGGGAGTTCGGGGCGTCTGAGGCTATTGTTTGGAACGACAGACGGGGGAGGGGTGGAAAGGGAGGGAGGAAACAGAGGAAAGGGAGGGAGAAAGGGACGGAGGTGCAGAGCCGTCGCCGCAGAACATGGCGAGGAAACTGTCATGCAGGTCGGCCCGAGGCTAGACTCCAAGTCGAAGGGGCCGATCGAGGCAGCAGGCGGCAGGGTGCAGCGGCTCACCCGCACCTTGGTGCAACCGTCAACGCGCACTACAAGGTCGAGCTGAAGCCCATCGACCCCATATGCATCTGGCTGACGAAACACGCCGGCTGGATCCTCACGAGGTTTACCGTGAGAGAAGACGGCTTGACGCCGCATCGCTGACGGAAGAGACTGCCACGGCCAGATCGCTGCGTTCGCGGAGACCGTCGTGCACAAGCTGCTTGCTGGAGCGACGGGCAAAATGGAGGCCAGTTGGGACAAACAGCATTTGGCTAGGCAAGGCCAACGTGAGCGCCGAACACATGATCGGCACGCCCAGGGGCAGGATCTTGTCGCGCTCTATTGCGCGGAAGCCCGGCGAGAAGAATGGAGCAAACACGTCTTCGGCCAGATCGCCTGCGCCTCGTTTGACCCGAAGGCGACCCTTTTGGCGGCGGAGCCCGTCTGGAGGCGGAGGTACTTGACCAAGGCGATCCTCGCCCGACTGGGTAGGACGCTTGGCCGCCCTGCCTGCGACGAGACAAGGACGTACCACGCGGCTGAGTGCGGAGCTCGTTTGGAGGCGTTGCTGGACGCGGGGGGCATCGCGAAGGGCCTGGCAGTTCAGGCTGGGTCTCGAACCGAGGGTCCTCCACCCACAAGGGCAGTGACCAGGAAGAGGGGCCAGGCCGAGTCCGCGCAGCCAGCGGCCAGCGACGGCCAAGCTGCCCCTGGACCAGCAACTGCCGCAGCATCAGCCGCGGCACCAGCGCAGCCAAGGCAAGACGACGGAGCAGACGTTGCCACGCCCGAAACTGAGGAGGATAACGCCGATATGATGGGTCAGGAGCCCATCGAGATCGCTGCGAGGCCGAAGGAACAAGTCTCAGAGAAGGAGGATCTCCCTGAAAGCAGGAAGGCGCGCACTATCGGAGGTCAGCCCGCGTGCGTCGCACCGCTCATGATCTGCGTAGTGGATTCTGGCGAATATACAGCCGATCCCGTCAAAGAGAAGGACTTGACGAACATCAGAAGCACGCTACCCGGGCAGCTACTGCCAGCTGTCAGGGTGAAGGAGGGACGCGCTCGGGAGCGTGCGAAGATGAAGGAGCACAGCGTGTTCCAGAGGGTCTTCGCCCATGAAACCAAAGGAAAGCAAGTGGCTCCAGGACTGGGAGACAGGGGCGGACGCCGCGAGGTGCAGGTTCGTGGCCACGCAGGTCGCGCGCCAGGTGCGCGATGACACGCTTGCAGGCACGCCGCCCCTGAAGTTCGAGACGCTCGCGCTGGCGATGGCGGCGGGGCTCGAGCGCGGCCAGAAGGTCTACCTGGTTGGCTTCTGTGACATCAGCAACGCTTTCCTCCGCGCCACGATGGGCGAGGACGTCTACGCGGTGCCGCCCGCTGGCGCGGTCGACCGGAATGTGGCGTGGCAGTTCCTGAAGGCGATGTGAGGCGCGAGGCGTGCGAGCAAGGTCATGGGAGCGCTGGTTGCTCAGGGTTTCATCAGGCTGCAGGTGACGGTCGTGTTCTTCCACCTCGAGAGGGGCACCTGCGTGGAAGTGCACGGTGACGACCTCATGGCGGTGGCTACCCGCGTCGACCTGCAGTGGCTGAACGAAGTCCTGGAGGAGAAGTTCAAGGTCAAGAGGTCTCCCTTGATCGGGCCCTCGCAGGCCGGAGGTGAGGCTGCGCCTGGCAAGCTCCTGAAGCGGACGGTGAGTTGGACGGCAGAAGGCTTCCATTGGGAGAGCGACACTAAACGCGCAGTGACTGTGGCGGAAGTGTATCGGAAGCTGGCGACGACGAGAGAGATCTCGCCAGCATCGAGGGATATTGGGAAGGGCGTGCCGACGGCTCTGGACACCCTGAGCTACGACCCGCAGAAGGCCATCCAGTCTTCAGCGCCGACGGCGTTCTACTTGGCCATGGATAGGCCAGACATCCAGTTTTCGACGAGCTGGGTCATGCGAGGCATGCAGGAGCTGATGGAGATCCACGAGCTGGAGCTCAATAGGCTGGCCGCGTACTTGGCGACCGACCCGCATGTGATGTGGCACTTCGAGTATCGGGTGATGCCGACGGGGAACGCGACCGTGACCGACTCCGACTGGGCCGGGGATGAAGTGGCGAGGCGAAGCCGCGGGGGCGGCTTCGAGTGCGCGGGCAACGCGTGCATCGACAGCTGGTCTGAGCGGCCGGCGCCGAGAGCACTGGGCAGTGGAGACGCCGAGCGCGCGGAGATACTAACGGAGCGGCCGGGGGCATCTTCGCGAAGAACCTATTCAAGGAGATGTAGATCGAGACGATGGTGGCGGCGGCGTGCGACAGCGCGGCGGCGGCCTGGATTTGCTTGAGGCTCGGCGTCGGTCGCGCCAGGCACTTGGGCGCGAGGTGCTCGCGGCTTCAGGCGGCGGTTGCGAGCAAGGGGGCGCGGGCGAAAAAGGTCCCGGCAAGCGAGAGCGCGGCGGATCTCACGACAAAGGCGCTTTATCCCACGCGACCACGCGAGTTGGCGAGGAGGCCGCCTGCGACCCTGCAGTCTGCGAGGGGCCCAGCAGGGCAAGGCGGCGATTCGCGATGGCCGCGGTGGGGCGAGACGGCGGCGACGCAGTGCGTTATCGCTTCAGTGGCACAGCATGCCGATGAAAAGCGCGCGCCCGGCCTGGAGCCAAGCTGCCATCTTGCCGCGCGCAGTGCGAAACCGAGCGATGCGCCGTGCAGCGTGGGGCCGCGATGGATCATCGAAACTGCCCGCCAAGCAGAGCCGGCTCGGCGGGGCGCCGTCCACAGCTCTGGTGGAGAAGGGCCAGTCCTAGGCGATAGATGCAGACGAGCGCGGCCAGCCTGCCGCTCTCGAGGAGGAGCGCCAGACATCATCGCGCCCTCCTAGCAAACATGCACGTAATGATATGCATTTGGATCGTAGCCCCTCGCAGCTAAGTCTAGGAGTTGTCTCTCGCTGCCGCGCGTTTTTTGGGGCACTCGAAGCTTGCCCAAATCATCGCTTAACCGAGTGGTTCCATCGGAGAGTTCATCTGTCCGGCATCGCTGGGCGGGCAGCTAAGCTGAGCTTTCCGCCGAGAGAGCATGCGCGATTCTCAGAATAAAAGGAAGGTCTCAACTTGCGCAGCTGACCGCATTAGACACCTTGCGCGCCAATGCGAGCAGCGCTCGCATGGGCCCAACACGCAAGTTCAGGATCGCGAGAACTCCCGCCAGCAGGGGCCCTCCTCCCAATATTCGAACACTTGAACTTCGGGAAATCGCAGCGTTTGACCCGGTGCGCCTTCAGGCCGCATGCAATCGTTCTGGATTCAGTCTTCTTCTTTCGACCACATCGCATGCGCGTGCGCGAGGTCAGCGGACAGGTTCCGCTGGACGTGTGCCAAGACAGTTCGATGCAGATGACGAGGTGCACCACTGGGCCCCGCGTCAACGCGATGCAGAGGCGCAGGCCTAGGCGTAGCAGGGCCATGGCATTCGGATAGGGCAAGAGGCGTGCAGCATTTCCACACCGTTTGTTTCAATACCTCCTGATGGGTGCGCACCTTCCAGCAGCAGTGGGGTTTATGCATATTTGCCAAATCCGCCATGTAACCAGCAGCGACAGCGCAATCAACCAGGGTGCCGCGGGCCTGGGCACATGTCACATCTGCGTCGCGAGGAGGGAGAGCACGCGCGCGTGCAAGCTGAGGAAAACCAGAGAGATCCATATCAGAGATAGGCAGGTTGACATCGCCCTTGAGCACCCAGGGCGCCGCCAGAGTGCCCAGGAATACTAAGACTCGGTTGCCGACTCCAAGAAGGGCCAGGCATTTCCAGAACCTACATTCCGAAGGCATGAGTCGCAGGCCAAACACATCCGAAGGCACGACCCTTTCGAAACCGCAGCTCCGACCTCCTCGCCATCCCTGAAAGGGGCAGGATGCATGGTGACGAGGCCGTCGCCCTGTCTGCGCGGCGTTCCGCTTCGTTCGGGGGGGCGAGACGGGCTCCAGATGGTGATCAGTTGCAGAGAAGGAGTCGTATGCTGGCCTGACCTTCGCCAGGAATTCGCCCGTAACCTGGTTCCAAAACGCGGCGGTGCCTAACGGCAGGTCGATGTGATGTCCCGGGATATCTTGCTCTCTGAATGCTGGCATCCGTCAAGCCTGCGTCGTGGGAGCAACCGTTCTTGCACCCCCCTGGCGTCGCATCTGCTCGATGACGCGTTGGAATACGGCAGCCGTTTCTGATTTCGCCGTTGGCGACCGACTCCTTCGACGTGAGATGCACCGCCCTGGACGAGGGAGTTTTTGCCCCCTTCTTCCGTGGCTGCTCGAGCACTCCACGGCGAGTGTCCTCATCGGCGCTCCCATTGACCATGGGATAATAATTGCTTGGCGATCAGCGAGCAGGTTCTCAACCTTTTTATTATTTGACGACTGCTGCGCACCATGGTTTGACCTTCTTAGCCGACATGGCCCCGATGATTTGTGACGCTGGCACGAAGGGAGCCGCCGCAGCTTCAGGCGTTCTCCCATCACCTTCCTGAATACGAGGCCGAGCTTGGACAGGTTATTCAGGCGGTGGCACAACAGCAGGAGCTGCGCGCGGAGCATCAGCCAGCCGACTTGCAGGAATTCGTTCAGTTTCAGCCTTGTCACGTTTAGCTTGCTTGCTCTTCTTCCAGTTTGCCATGCTGGGATCCCGTAGCTGTTGATATGCATCCTGCTGGGCTTGCTCGACCTCAGTCGGTTCACGTAGAGAAGAGACATGCACGTCCGTCGTGCAGTCCAATTGTTGCTTGAATTTGC